CACACACACACACACACACACACACACACACACACACACACACACACACACACACACACACACACACACATACAATCACTCACACAAACACACACACACACATGCAAAAGTAAGCACAGTCTGGCAAAGGGAGACAACATCAGATCATCCTTCCTTTCAGTGTTTAAAAATACACCCACATTAACTTTTTTCTGCCGGTTAGCTCAGCTCTGGCACGTACACACGGTCTCGCTCAAGAGGAATGCTGGAAACACAAATGCAAGAAACAAAATGAAAGAAAGACACCGATTTCCCCCGAATAAATATGTCTGAGTTATTAAAGACGATGTGAATGCTAATGGGTTTACATATTTTCACACATTGCCCATGCAACTGTTATGTTTTGGAGCAGATCACCATTGGAATCCACACAGGAGAGGTGGTCACAGGGGTCATAGGTCAAAGAATGCCCCGTTACTGCCTGTTTGGAAACACCGTCAACCTGACAAGTCGTACAGAGACCACAGGAGAGAAGGGAAAGATAAATGTGTCAGAGTACACATACAGGTGAGAGAAACCAGAAAGATATAAATCTGCACTATATATATATATATATATATACTGTATATATATATATATATATATTTTTTTTTTTTTTTTTTTTTTTTTTTATAAAAATAAATAAAAAAGATTATTGGACTATGTTTTCTACTTCAACATTTTACATTTAATTCAATTTTCTCCTTAATTGTTTGAAAAGTATACTAGCAACTTCTGAGTGAAAGTAGTTTCTATACCATTTTTCCCACTGTGTTTGTATTTTTATGAAATGGCCAGTGTGCAATTAATATACTGTACTTTTAGAAGGTTATTAAAACACTGTAAAAAGTAACCTTTTACATTACAAAGCAATTTTTTTTTATTTACCTGATTTAACCTATAAACAAGTATTTTGTTGGTATAAATTAATGCATTTCGGTTGATTCAGTGATGCATATATATATACACACATAAATGAACACACTGAATTGCGTGATACAAAGTCATGATTGTAAGAAAGGGCTGCTGTATCAACCAAAATGACTATATATAATATAATATAATATAATATAATATGTGACCCTGGAGCACAAAAGCAGTGTTAAGTCGCTGGGGGATATTTGTAGCAATAGCCAACAATACATTGTATGGGTCACAATTATACATTTCTCTTTTATGCCAAAAATCATTAGGATATTAAGTAAAGATCATGTTCCATGAAGATATTTAGTAAATTTCCTATCGTAAATATATCAAAACTTAATGTTTGATTAGTAATATGCATTGCTAAGAACTTCATTTGAACAACTTTAAAGATGATTTTCTCAATATTTCGATTTTTTTGCACCCTCAGATTCCAGATTTTCAAATAGTTGTATCTCAGCCAAATATTGTTCTATCATAACAAGCTTATTTATTCAGCTTTCAGATGGTGTATAAATCTCAATTTTGAAAATTTGACACGGTTTTGCAGTCCAGGGTCACATATAATATAATAAAGAAATATTTTTGTGTGAATAAATGGAATGTTGTTACTGTGTTGTCTCGGTTCAGGTGTTTGCAGTCGGTGGAAAACGCTGATCCTCAGTTTCGTTTGGAGTACAGAGGACCTGTCACCATGAAAGGGAAAAAAGAGCCAATGAAAGTGTGGTTTCTCTCACGTAAGACCTAACGGACGCGTAAAAGACCGTTTTTAGTGTGTTAGTGCACTAATGTGTGGGTGCCAACTATTGAATTGATTTAATACAAAAACATCTGAATAAATACATGGTACAGATACTCTATGCAACATGCAAACGTGCTCATCGAGTGTTTATTTCCATCATTTTATAGCAGAGTATGCGACAGTATTCAGATGACTTTTGTTTTTCATCACTGAGCAAAACAACTTATTCCACTTTGTCTGTATTTAGAGTGTTCGAAATACCTAAAACACTGTTTTTGTTTTAATTGTGCACATTAATTGAGAAATAAACCTGCAGATGTTCAGAGTCACATGTATTATATTGGAAATACTCTATAATTAATTTAGCTAGACAGATGCATGCTGTAAACAATAAAAACGCCTGCACATTGGAATCATATTTACACTCTTACATTGCATCAGAGAATTTGCCAAACATGAAGATATAAGCTATTTTATGATCACAATTTAGTGTATGCTATTGTGTTGCTGTGAGGAGTCGTTACTGCGTGAATGAATAGATTCTAAACGAGTTTCTAAGTTAATATTAACCATTTGAAAAGTGCATCCGTTTGTATTCGAGTTTGTATTCATTGAATCTCACAGATAGAGCTCTGTATCGTAAACCTGTCACGTAACGATGCTTTTCTGTGCACCGCTGTTTGTTGTATATATTTAAGTCTTGCATTAAAATATTATTTAAAAGATCTGCATAGTCTGGTTGGTTGGAGTTTTCTTATCCGGTTACAAATATTCATGAGCGCTTCATTTTATGCCCCTAAATATATTCATAAGTCTGTCTAATTGAAATGCAAACATGCAGTCAAAACATAAACATAGTCAAATCACCGGAGAAATATCGTCTTTTTACAGTCAGACATTAATAAATACTAAAGCACACATGAATGAGGCAATATTTTTTTAATATTTACACTTCCATCTAAGAGAAATCATCTTTCATTTGTAGATTACAGATTGTGTAGTTAATCATTATCTTCTGGACATAAACACCATGCCATGTGCAGCAAGACAACTGATTATGCCATAAAAAGATTAAAACATCATAGAGACAAACTGTTTTGAAATGAGTCTGAACTAAACGTCAATGGGAAGATAGCATGACTTCATCCGGATTAATAAACAGCCTTTCATGTTTCACAGAAGAAAAAATGTGCAGGAATAAAGCAGATCATTTGCAGCCTTCAGTGTATGAACATGACTTAAAACCACATATGCAAGCAATAAATAAATAAACAACTAAATGGTAACACTTTAGTTTAGGGAGCAATTTTCACTATTAACTACAATATTGGCTGTTTATTAGAATTTATAAAGCACATATTAATGCCTTATTCTGCAAAGATCCCTTAATCCACACAATACCTAAACTTTACAACAAGCTTACTAACTATTAATAAGCAGCACTTTAGGAGTTTATTGAGGCAAAAGTCTGTTAGTGTTATGATGCATATTGTATATTTCAAAGAATTGATGTTTTCCCCATTTCTATTCATCTGTGAAAACCTGAAAAATAAAATGTATCACAGTTTCCACAAAAATATTGTGCAGCACAACTGTTTTCAACATAATAATAATAATAATAATAATAATAAATGTTTCTTGAGCAGCAGATCAGCATATTAGACTGATTTCTGAAGATCATGTGACACTGAAGACTGGAGTAATGATGCTGAAAATACAGCTGCGCATCACAGAAATACATTACAGTTTAACAGAGATTCACACAGAAAACAGCTGTTTGAAATAGTAATAATATTTCACTATTTTTAATGTATTTTTTATCAAATAAATGCAGCCTTGTTCAGCATAAGAGACTTATTTTAAAGAACACTTATTAACAGTTTTTACAAATAGTATCACTCTTATTTTAGGTTAAATTATTAACATTTTGCAGACTGTGCAAGGTAAACGTATGACCAGCTTATTGAACTTTTCTAAACCATATATATCTTAAATTAGTTTTCAGTTTAAAGCTTTTCTTATCTTTGCTTGCAATGGGACGATACCAAAGGTCTTCAGAGGTCTCATTATATTGCGCTGTTGAGAGATTAAGCCTGAGGTAATGATCAAATAAAGCATTATCAGAGATTATCATGTCTCTTGATATCGCTTTATCTTGTCGTGGAGTCTCCAGATGAAATTTTCACACCACATGTTGCTTTGTTTTCATATTTGGCAGGCCTTAAATGTGACCCTGGAGCACAAAACCAGTCATAAGTGTAAATTTCTCAAAAATTAGATTTATACATCAGCTGAAAGCTGAATAAATCATCTTTCCATTGATGTATGGTTTGTTAGGATTGGACAATATTTGGTCGAGATACAACTATTTGAAAATCTGGAATCTGAGGATGCAAAAAAATCTAAATATTGAGAAAATCATCTTTAAAGTTGTTCAAATGAAGTTCTTAGCAATGCATATTACTAATCAAAAAAGTTTTGATATATTTATGGTAGGAAATTTACAAAATATCTTCAAGGAACATGATCTTTACTTAATATCCTAATGATTTTTGGCATAAAAGAGAAATCTATAATTTTGACCCATACAATGTATTGTTGGCTATTGCTACAAATATCCCCCAGCGACTCAACACTGCTTTTGTGCTGCAGGGACACATATGTACATTATTAGTAAATATGCCTCAGCTCTTCTCACTCAATATTTGAATCACTGTAAGCAGAAAGAGTGAATGCTGGTGAGTCACGACACACAGAGAAGAAAAGCCATGCAACTTTCACCATTCGAATTATGCTTAAATGCTAAAATGCATTGCTTAAACACACCATTCATAATTTCACCATTCAACTAGTGAACAGACACACCCTACACAGTTTAAACAGCAAACAATTCAGATAAAAGCAGGACAATACAAGCAAGCGCTTGTTCTTACAGAACGACTTGAAGCCTCAAATCAATGAAGAAGCGAGGCATGTTGGGATGTGTGATGTATGGTGAGATTTATACTCTGAGCTTTACTCAGCCACATCAGCATGAAGATAATACTCCGATAAGAGACTCGCGCAGGTATAAAAGACAGACTCGGGGTAAAGTTAGGCCACCGTCAGGATCACAGCAGTCTGTCATCATGGCCTTCAACGGGACCTGGAAAGTCGACCGCAATGACAACTACGAGAAGTTCATGGAGGAAATGGGTAAGTGGACATGAATGCTGCTGGAATCTTCTCTTTCTGTACCTGTTGAGTGATTCAGCGGGGCATTGTTTATGAGGTGCACGTGTACTGCATGTCTTCAACAGGCATCAACATGGTTAAGAGGAAACTAGCGTCTCATGACAACCTGAAGATCACTGTGGAACAGACCGGAGACAAGTTCCACCTGAAGGAAGTCAGCACTTTCCGCACGGTGGAAATTAACTTTACTCTAGGCGTCAACTTTGAATATTCCATGGCAGACGGCACTGAGCTCACAGTAAGCACAAGAGGCGTTTTCAGTCTTAAACACTCTGAAGGTTCTTTATTTCCATAAAGACCCTTTTAACATCCTTGGAACCATTGCACAAAAAGGTTCTTTACAGCAGAAAGATTGTATAAAGCGTTCTTAACACTAATCAGGCATGCATATGGTTATTTTGAGAAATATATTTGGGAACCCAAAATGGTTCGTTGCTGCAAAAAGCTCCTTTTATTTTTAAAGCATGTACACTCTCAGGAAAAAAAAGGCACAAAAGCTGTCACTGGGGTGATACCTTTTCAAAACGTACACCTTTGTGCCTTGTTTAGCCTTAAAGGGTGCGTATGTGTACTTTAAAGGCACATATTTGGGAAAAGTGCACCACTTCAACATTTAGATAATATGTACACGTTTAGGTATTAATATGTACCTTTAAAGGTAAATAAGGAAAAGGTTCCGCCCCAGTGATGGCTTTTGGACCTTTTCTTCTGAGAGTGTAACGATCAGGCGCAAAGGTTGAGATGCATGTTGAGCAGTTATGAATTGAGATGTTGTAACTCTTTTGTATTAAATCAGCGCCAAATGTACATTTACTGAACGCTGCCAGCTGATGCTTTTCTAATGTTCACGCCTATACGAGCCTCCTGAAGAAGCAGTCCGTCACTGATCGACTCGACCTTTCGCTGCTCAGCTCAAAATGAGTCTGACCTTTGACCTTCTGATTGCAGGGATCCTGGGTCATGGAGGGCGACACGCTTAAGGGGACGTTCACACGCAAGGACAACGGAAAGTTGCTAATATGCAAAAAAATCTAAATATTGAGAAAATCATCTTTAAAGTTGTTCAAATGAAGTTCTTAGCAATGCATATTACTAATCAAAAATTAAGTTTTGATATATTTACGGTAGGAAACTTACAAAATATATTCATGGAACATGATCTTTACTTAATATCCTAATGATTTTTGGCATAAAAGAGAAATCTATAATTTTGACCCATACAATGTATTGTTGGCTATTGCTACAAATATCCCCCAGCGACTCAACACTGCTTTTGTGCTGCAGGGACACATATGTACATTATTAGTAAATATGCCTCAGCTCTTCTCACTCAATATTTGAATCACTGTAAGCAGAAAGAGTGAATGCTGGTGAGTCACGACACACAGAGAAGAAAAGCCATGCAACTTTCACCATTCGAATTATGCTTAAATGCTAAAATGCATTGCTTAAACACACCATTCATAATTTCACCATTCAACTAGTGAACAGACACACCCTACACAGTTTAAACAGCAAACAATTCAGATAAAAGCAGGACAATACAAGCAAGCGCTTGTTCTTACAGAACGACTTGAAGCCTCAAATCAATGAAGAAGCGAGGCATGTTGGGATGTGTGATGTATGGTGAGATTTATACTCTGAGCTTTACTCAGCCACATCAGCATGAAGATAATACTCCGATAAGAGACTCGCGCAGGTATAAAAGACAGACTCGGGGTAAAGTTAGGCCACCGTCAGGATCACAGCAGTCTGTCATCATGGCCTTCAACGGGACCTGGAAAGTCGACCGCAATGACAACTACGAGAAGTTCATGGAGGAAATGGGTAAGTGGACATGAATGCTGCTGGAATCTTCTCTTTCTGTACCTGTTGAGTGATTCAGCGGGGCATTGTTTATGAGGTGCACGTGTACTGCATGTCTTCAACAGGCATCAACATGGTTAAGAGGAAACTAGCGTCTCATGACAACCTGAAGATCACTGTGGAACAGACCGGAGACAAGTTCCACCTGAAGGAAGTCAGCACTTTCCGCACGGTGGAAATTAACTTTACTCTAGGCGTCAACTTTGAATATTCCATGGCAGACGGCACTGAGCTCACAGTAAGCACAAGAGGCGTTTTCAGTCTTAAACACTCTGAAGGTTCTTTATTTCCATAAAGACCCTTTTAACATCCTTGGAACCATTGCACAAAAAGGTTCTTTACAGCAGAAAGATTGTATAAAGCGTTCTTAACACTAATCAGGCATGCATATGGTTATTTTGAGAAATATATTTGGGAACCCAAAATGGTTCGTTGCTGCAAAAAGCTCCTTTTATTTTTAAAGCATGTACACTCTCAGGAAAAAAAAGGCACAAAAGCTGTCACTGGGGTGATACCTTTTCAAAACGTACACCTTTGTGCCTTGTTTAGCCTTAAAGGGTGCGTATGTGTACTTTAAAGGCACATATTTGGGAAAAGTGCACCACTTCAACATTTAGATAATATGTACACGTTTAGGTATTAATATGTACCTTTAAAGGTAAATAAGGAAAAGGTTCCGCCCCAGTGATGGCTTTTGGACCTTTTCTTCTGAGAGTGTAACGATCAGGCGCAAAGGTTGAGATGCATGTTGAGCAGTTATGAATTGAGATGTTGTAACTCTTTTGTATTAAATCAGCGCCAAATGTACATTTACTGAACGCTGCCAGCTGATGCTTTTCTAATGTTCACGCCTATACGAGCCTCCTGAAGAAGCAGTCCGTCACTGATCGACTCGACCTTTCGCTGCTCAGCTCAAAATATGAATTGAGATGTTGTAACTCTTTTGTATTAAATCAGCGCCAAATGTACATTTACTGAACGCTGCCAGCTGATGCTTTTCTAATGTTCACGCCTATACGAGCCTCCTGAAGAAGCAGTCCGTCACTGATCGACTCGACCTTTCGCTGCTCAGCTCAAAATGAGTCTGACCTTTGACCTTCTGATTGCAGGGATCCTGGGTCATGGAGGGCGACACGCTTAAGGGGACGTTCACACGCAAGGACAACGGAAAGTTGCTAATAACAACCAGGAAGATCATCGGTGATGAACTTGTACAGGTGAGCTGCTGTTCAAGACAAATCCTCAGATCAAACTTTGTAAATGCTGTGAACATGTGTTGCCTTACGCTTTTTGCTTGCAGGCCTATACCTATGAAGGAGTCGAGGCCAAGAGGATTTTCAAGAGGGGTTAAAATGATCCAAAAATTCCAAATGACAACTCTATTGAATCTATTGTGTGTTGCAAACCTTGGATATTCAACCTGATAATAAGTGTTTTAACAATTGGCAGCCCTAAAGTTTACAAAGCATGTATGTATTGCACTGTGAGTTTTCATATTTATGGTAATAAAGCCATTTTTACATCCGTTTTTGTTTTTATGCAGTATGTGTTGTGAATGAAATTGTCGAATGAAATTATTTCAACTGGAAGGTACATTTTTCAGAAGTAAAAAAATAAACACAAAGAAGCAGGTTGCATCAGTGATTGAACATTTGAGGTTTATTAAACAAAGAATAAAAATAACTGCATAGACATCTCCAAAAATATATAGCGGATATCATTTTACATTATTTGTTTACTCTGAATCATGAAAAAAAATTGCATGAAGGCACTCCACACACAACCTCTAGGGAGCATGTACAAAGGTCCATTTGCATTGAAATTAAAGTCGAGGACACACTCTTTGTCTGTTTCTTTTAGATGTATATATACTGTATTAGCTGTCACAATATTCAGTCGATATTCAAGTGGTCATTCCGGTTCACAAGCAATTACTGATTCAAGCCAAAGTGCATACTGCCCCCCTGTGGATGGCTCTTAGAAGATACTTGAACATCACAAATATGATCCATATTTGTTCAACTTCTTTGGCAATTCTCTTGCATTAGGGCTCAGTGGGTCACCAGGACCTGATGAGAAAGAAGACTGATTATACGGCATTGTGTTTACATACACATAGTTGGAGAACGGACGGATGGATGTTTTTAAACGCATAAAGTACCAGTCAAAAGTCTGAACACACCTATTCACACTTTATCTCAAAGCACATTTTCACAAACTAGTCAACCTATGGCTAAATTCAGAACAGCTCACCAGTGTTATTTTAGTATTATTTATATACTATTATAGTTTTATTGATATTAGGGATTAGCTTAGTTATCCTTTTTATTAGTTTTCTATTTAGCTTTTTTTTCAGTTTTAGTAATTTTAGTAGTTTAACTTATTGGTGACACTTTACAATAAGCTTCATTAGTTAACATGAACTAAGCATGAACAATACCTCTACAGCATTTATTAATCTTAGTTAATTTCAGCATTTATTAATGCATTATTAAAAACAAAAGTTGTGCTTGTTAGCATTAGTTAATGCACTGTGAATTAACATGAACTAACAATGAACAACTAACTAACTAACATTAACTAAGATTAATAAATACTGTACTGTTCATTGTTTGTTCATGTTAGTTAATACATGAACTAATGGAACCTTATTGCAAAGTGTTACCAACTTATTTTATTTCATGTTTTTCATCTAATGTTTATATTTGATTTCAGCTTTATTTCAATGAATGAATATTATTTTTAATAGATTTAGTTAACAATAACACTGCAGCACACTAGCATATATTCTACCATATGTTTACACGGCAGAAATACGCTGTTCCCAATTCAGTCAGTGTCTTGGTTGTTTGTTCCTAAATGAAATCACTCAAGGAATTTTATAACACAGTAGTGCTCACTGTGTTTGCTTACTGTTAACAGTAGGGATGCACCGATATGAAAAATTTGCCCGATACCGATATGGTGGCCGATATATCGTGCATCCCTAGTTAACAGTTTGCATTTTCCTTGACAAACATATATTTAGGACAAACAAACTCTACCATTAATCCAGCTAACTATGGCAAGAAATTCACCTTTCAGTATTTTTATGATGCTCTCACCACTAGCCTGTCTCCTTTCACGTCCTTTATCAAAATAATAGTGCATGGCATGCAGCATCTGTCTTGTAACAATCTTCGTTTGCTGGGCTCAGCTAAACGCACGCCTGCCTGAAGCTTACTTGCTTCACCACATGATCCTTTATGGTCTTTCTCAGCGCAATTCTCCGCTGTGTGTTATTTAGATGAAAAATGGCTGATAGATGCACTGCACTGTGTTGGCTCTGCTCTATTCGAATGAAATGTTACATTGTAACAATGTATATGAAACAGCAACAGGAAGTGTAGAACAGTGAAGTTACAAATGATCCTTCTCATTTATCAGACTAGTGTGTTGCGTGTGTAAAACATTTGATTAATGAGTCCGGTTGTCAGGCTCAGATAAAAAGACTCCAGACTTCAGATAAAAAGATCTTTCAGATCAAGAGAAACTTACATTGTCCACATTTCTGTCTGACACTCTAGAATCTAGATAGAGATTTTAAACATTGTACTGCAGTAAAGTGGACGACTGATATTTATCTCAGCCGTTATGATCTATGACTTTACAAAATAAGGATTGGTTAACGTTAATGCATCATTAACTAACTCTGAACAACTGTTTTACTGCATTCAGTAATTCAGGTTCCAATAATAATCAGTCATTGCTCATCCATAAACTGATTATTAATAATAAGATTCATGTTCATTTTATACAGTAACGCTTTAGTTTAGGAAGCAATTCTCATTATTAACTAGTAGCTTAGTAGCTTACTAGCATGCATATTATTGTCTGTTTATCAGTACTTATAAAGCACATATTAATGCCTTATTATTCTGCATGAGCATATTCTAGATCCCTTAATCCTAAACCGCATACCTAAATTTAACAACTAGCTTACTAACTATTAATAAGCAGCACATTAGGAGTTTATTCAGGCAAAAGTCAGTTAATATTTAGTGAGAACTGGACTGTTTATACAACTTTAGCTCTTTCTTATGTGTAAATTAATATGAATCTAAATTAATTCATTTTCTAAATGTGTTCATTGCTAGTTTGTGTTATTTAATGCAATAATGGTAACACTTTATTTTAAGGTGTCCTTGTTACACGTTACATCTACTTACTATTATAATAACAATTAATTATGCATAACTGCATGCAAGAAACCCTAATCCTAAGCCTAGCCATATAGTAAGTACATGTATTTAATTAATAATACTCAGTACTTAAATGTATAATTACATTGTAACAAGCACACCTTAAAATAAAGTGTATCCGCAATAACTAATAAATGTTACAAAAATAGTGCTTTTTAAACTCCTGGATTTGGACTGACAGAAAAAAACAATATCTGAAGGTTTAGTGAGAACTTACCATAACTTTCACAAATATCCATGTTCATCCAGCCCTTTTGAAGCGACAGGGTGCCATTTAGCAGTGGGCTTACTGTTGCTATTGCCTGGGAAAAAATCATTTAGTTTAGTTAAGCTACTAACGACAGTTAACGAGTTATTAAATACATGCACAACTGTTCAAAAGTTTGAGATCAGTAAGACAAGTAAGGATGGGATGTATCAAAGTGAACTAAAGTGACATTAAAGACATCTCCAATGTTACAAAATGAACACATTTCAAATAAATGCCGTTCTTTTGAACTTTCTAATCAAAGAAAAATTTAAATTATTTCAGATTCCACAAAAATATTGTGCAGCACAGCTGATAATAATCAGAAATGTCGCTATTGCCTGGGAAAAAATCATTTAGTTTAGTTAAGCTACTAACGACAGTTAACGAGTTATTAAATACATGCACAACTGTTCAAAAGTTTGAGATCAGTAAGACAAGTAAGGATGGGATGTATCAAAGTGAACTAAAGTGACATTAAAGACATCTCCAATGTTACAAAATGAACACATTTCAAATAAATGCCGTTCTTTTGAACTTTCTAATCAAAGAAAAATTAAAATTATTTCAGATTCCACAAAAATATTGTGCAGCACAGCTGATAATAATCAGAAATGTCTCTTGAGCAGCAAATCGGCATATTAGACTGATTTCTGAAGATCATGTGACACTGAAGACTGGAGTAATGATGCTGAAAATACAGCTGCACATCACAGAAATACATTACAGTTTAACAGAGATTCACATAGAAAACAGCTATTTTAAATAGCAATAATATTTCAGAATATTGCCGTTTTTACTGTATTTTGGATCAAATAAACGCAGCCTCAGTGAGCAGAAGAGACCTCTTTCAAAAACTTTTTCACAGTATTACTGTATTTTTGATGAAATCAATTTGAAGAGACTTTTCTTACTGACCCAAACTTTTGAACACGATAGCCTCTCAATGACTGAATGAGGAGATCAGCGGAGCTTTAACACACCAGAGTCGGGCTTATTTTTGGCACGCTCAGATTGTCCCGTGTCTCTCCCGTCCTTCACAGCTCCTCTGGGCTCAGGCATGGAGAGGACTAGCGGCCTCTGGTGGTGATACTTTAGTCTGTAGGTGTCTGTCATACAATTATCCACCGAGAAATAAGTCGTCAGTGCTACTCCAGATGCTGAAGCCGATGGCTTATCCCAACCACAAGACACCTGCTCCCCTCTCTCCTGGTCCGAACCCGATTTTGAGCTCGCGTCTGATGAGCTCGGGCACATGTCGTTGATTTCCATTCGCCTGGTGGCATGACGGAAGGGTGGCGTCTTTATCTCGATGGGTCGCTGAGCATGTTTGGAGTGAGTTTGCATGGATGGAGCTGTGGCTGGCTCCTCTCTCGGCTGCGGAGGAGCTGGAGACTCGTGCGGAGCGGCTTCACTGATGCTGGAACGATACGCACTGTCCGCCTGCTCTGAAAGAGGGTTCGTGAGTTCATCAGAACTGTTACACTCTGAACTGTTGATCTTGTCCAGGCGGCGCAGGAGAGGGCTTTCTGGGCTGTGGTGCCATCGCATGGAAACTTCTTGCTGCTCTGCTTGAAGTTCACCGGCTGATGGGTCTTTCTCTGCGTTGCTCCCTTTCCTCGCACCACAGGAGGAGTATCTCAGCTTCCTTCTGTGAAGCATGAACACATATGTGACCCTGGAGCACAAAACCAGTCATAAGGGTAAATTTTTTGAAATGTAAAGACAAAGCCTGTGAATACCTTGAACTTGGGCTGCCCTTCATGAGATGTTCCGAGTTATTTCCCTGAATTTTAACCAAATGCTTACCTGAGGGAACAAAATGTGCAATCATTTATTTTTTGAAACATGAAACAGACAATCAAGCCTCAAAGGCGAATTTTTGCATCTCTGACAAGGATGTGTAGCAACTGCCAAACTCGCCCTACACACTCACTAGGACGCATCCTACTCACTTATTTATAGACAGACTTTTCATCTCTTTCCTGCTGAGCTCCATGTGAGGATAAAGCCGCAGGATACAACATGTGCTCCAAGTCTAAGCTTATGGAATGCATTTTACACTTAATGATGTTTTTTGTGTTTTTTACTTTCACAGTGCTCCTGTAAGTCTCTCTCTTTACCGAATGTGTGCTGTGCTACTGCCTTCTGGTGCTTTTCCCTTCACTAAGAAGGGGCTTCTGGGACACAGACGTGGTTCGGAAATACATGCAGATTTGAAAGACCGAGATATCAAGGAGTGTGTGCAATTTAAGCTTCATAAAGCATTCGTTTTTCTCTCTTATCTTTGTGTTCCGACGTAATACAGCAGTGTTTAGTGGGGCAAAGTGTTTTACATTTTAAGCTGCTTCTGTCTCTTCTCGCAGCGCGGGAGGAGGAGAGAGAGGGATTTTCTCAGGCTTTGGCATGCTACTACCATGGAATTACAGAGAATTACAGTTGTGTAAAATCTCAAAGTATACAAAAACATGACAAAACTGTAGATGAGTCAGGCTTTTGGAACGACTCCAAACGCCTGTCTCTCTTTTGGGCTTTGATGGAGCTTGGTTTCATATGTAGCTGAAACTAAAAGATCGTTTTGAGCACATGCTACGCGATGGGATGCCAAATGTGACCTGAAATGCGAATGGGATATGCATTTCGATAAAAGATGATATGTCCTCTACAGAATGAGCATTTTGTGACATTTTGCGATTCGTGAAATGGAACGTACAAATGTATTTTGTGACATTTTGTTCACGAAAGGTGTTTTTCATTTAATAATTTTGTGCACAAAATGAAGCGCTGATCTTAGTTGCTACTGTCAAATGCATTAAGGTATAACTGAATTTGTTATGAAATTTGTGGGATTTTGTGTCACGTAATTCACTCAGTCCATGGAATTAGTTACTAATTACTCAATTACAAAGCACAGAAAAAGAAAATGTGCTTTTTGGGCTTTTCCCCACTTTTTACATGTACATGGACTACCGGATAGGCAGAGACTACGACATAACCGTTGGTTGTAAAATGATAAAAAAGCAAATTAACTAATCTGAAAAATATTATACTTTGGACCAACTTTTAAAAAAAAACAAAAAAATAACACACTTGCTTTGCTAAAACTTTAAGCCAGATGTATTAGTTTTTCTCAAATTATATTTACAGTTTGGTCAAACATTACATTTTGATTTGATATTAAGCAAACATATTTCTTTTCCCAAAGACAAAAGCATTCATACAAAGTAAAAATATAATTTATTTATAAAGGCCATATGACATCCATATTTTGGATGTCATCCCCAGGTATAAAACGGGGGCATGAGCACACATCTCCTATACTTATTCATGATTAATAGTTCAAACTCTTGCTCTAAATTTAGAAATGATAGACACTTTAAACAAATGATACAGACATGCAGCTTCTGAAAGCAAAGTAGTTGGTGATGTTATGTTGGTGATGTCAATGCAACGATGCAGCGTCGAAACCATGATTTTGACTATACATGGGCAAACAAGAGATGATGCCACGGTGTATGATCAATACTCACTGTGGTACAGTGGAGAACGCACTGCCTCCGTTTTGGCATCACCTTGATTACTATGGCCTTGATCCCTGAGGAAATACATCACTGAATCAAGACCAAGGAATCCAAGTTACACACTTATCACGATGTAATTTCTCCTACCTGAGGTGCTGTGCATCTTGACGGAGTCTGAGCTCTTTGCCCGTGAAGTTCTCCACACCTGGAGAGTCAGGATTGGTGGAACCATTGCTCAACCTATCGCTGCTCTCGTATCCTGATTCTGTCCTCTGGATCGTCCAGTTATCGCTCCGCTGTGCTACATGCGCTCCATCTTTAGGCCTCGTCACTATCGTCTGTCGCTGAGACTCCTGGGAGCTTTGACTTTCAGTCTCCAAACGCAAGTCATCTTCGTAAATAGTCATCAGACCTTTTTGTTTGTCCTTCATCAGTCCTCTCTCATGGCCAAAGCGATGGACACATCGAGGGCTCCCGAGCTGCTGCTGCTGACGGTGTTCCAGTTCGCTCAGCACGCTGTCTACATTCAGGACCTCTCGCACTGGTCTCCATGACGGCTTGGCCTTGCCACGCTCAGATGAAGATTCAACATGAGGACTGGCGCCAGTGGCCGCTGCCTGGTTAGAGCGGGACTCCTGCGGTGGAGCGCGAGGATGGGCTGAAGAAGGCTCGGCTCGAGAGACTCGTGAGGGGAGAGTTCTGTGTCTCTGGTCCGAATGAAACCTCGGGCCATTCTCAGGGGGAGAAGATGATCGAGGATATGTCATATCTAAAAAACAACAATAATAATAATAAAAATAATAATGAAAAAAAACATTATTTTAATTACTAAGTAATTAGTAAGTCTAAAATGTATTTGGAAAACTAAGCCAAAATGTATAAATGTCTTAACATAATATGCAAAAAAGAAAAAAAGTGTGTGTAAAATTTTAAAACTGTTGATATATTGTTCAAAATGAAGATACTTTCTGGCTGTCATATTTTGTGACACTTGAGAGGATCTGGCTATATAGTCAGCTTGATTTAACAGGTTTAACACCTTGATTTAATTTTTACAGTGGCATAAAAATGTATTTGGAAAACAAAGCCAAAATGTATAAATGTCGTCAATAACAGATTATAATGTAAAAAAAAAAAAGCATCTGATAAAAAGGGCTATGTGCCAAAACAATTGATATATTGTTCAAAATTAAGACAAGTATATAGACACTCTTTGGTTGTCATATTGTTTGACAATTGAGGGAATCAGACTTATATGTGTGTGTATATATATATATATATATTAGTGCTGTCAACACAATTAATCGCGATTAATCGCATGCAAAATATAAATTTTTGTTTACACAATTTGTGTGTGTACTGTGTATATGTATGATGTATATATAAATACACACGTATGCATGTATATATTTAAGAAACATTTATAACTGAATTTGTTATGAAATTTGTGGGATTTTGTGTCACGTAATTCACTCAGTCCATGGAATTAGTTACTAATTACTCAATTACAAAGCACAGAAAAAGAAAATGTGCTTTTTGGGCTTTTCCCCACTTTTTACATGTACATGGACTACCGGATAGGCAGAGACTACGACATAACCGTTGGTTGTAAAATGATAAAAAAGCAAATTAACTAATCTGAAAAATATTATACTTTGGACCAACTTTTTAAAAAAAACAAAAAAATAACACACTTGCTTTGCTAAAACTTTAAGCCAGATGTATTAGTTTTTCTCAAATTATATTTACAGTTTGGTCAACCATTACATTTTGATTTGATATTAAGCAAACATATTTCTTTTCCCAAAGACAAAAGCATTCATACAAAGTAAAAATATAATTTATTTATAAAGGCCATATGACATCCATATTTTGGATGTCATCCCCAGGTATAAAACGGGGGCATGAGCACACATCTCCTATACTTATTCATGATTAATAGTTCAAACTCTTGCTCTAAATTTAGAAATGATAGACACTTTAAACAAATGATACAGACATGCAGCTTCTGAAAGCAAAGTAGTTGGTGATGTTATGTTGGTGACGTCAATGCAACGATGCAGCGTCGAAACCATGATTTTGACTATACATGGGCAAACAAGAGATGATGCCACGGTGTATGATCAATACTCACTGTGGTACAGTGGAGAACGCACTGCCTCCGTTTTGGCATCACCTTGATTACTATGGCCTTGATCCCTGAGGAAATACATCACTGAATCAAGACCAAGGAATCCAAGTTACACACTTATCACGATGTAATTTCTCCTACCTGAGGTGCTGTGCATCTTGACGGAGTCTGAGCTCTTTGCCCGTGAAGTTCTCCACACCTGGAGAGTCAGGATTGGTGGAACCATTGCTCAACCTATCGCTGCTCTCGTATCCTGATTCTGTCCTCTGGATCGTCCAGTTATCGCTCCGCTGTGCTACATGCGCTCCATCTTTAGGCCTCGTCACTATCGTCTGTCGCTGAGACTCCTGGGAGCTTTGACTTTCAGTCTCCAAACGCAAGTCATCTTCGTAAATAGTCATCAGACCTTTTTGTTTGTCCTTCATCAGTCCTCTCTCATGGCCAAAGCGATGGACACATCGAGGGCTCCCGAGCTGCTGCTGCTGACGGTGTTCCAGTTCGCTCAGCACGCTGTCTACATTCAGGACCTCTCGCACTGGTCTCCATGACGGCTTGGCCTTGCCACGCTCAGATGAAGATTCAACATGAGGACTGGCGCCAGTGGCCGCTGCCTGGTCAGAGCGGGACTCCTGCGGTGGAGTGCGAGGATGGGCTGAAGAAGGCTCGGCTCGAGAGACTCGTGAGGGGAGAGTTCTGTGTCTCTGGTCCGAATGAAACCTCGGGCCATTCTCAGGGGGAGAAGATGATCGAGGATATGTCATATCTAAAAAACAACAATAATAATAATAAAAATAATAATGAAAAAAAACATTATTTTAATTACTAAGTAATTAGTAAGTCTAAAATGTATTTGGAAAACTAAGCCAAAATGTATAAATGTCTTAACATAATATGCAAAAAAGAAAAAAAGTGTGTGTAAAATTTTAAAACTGTTGATATATTGTTCAAAATGAAGATACTTTCTGGCTGTCATATTTTGTGACACTTGAGAGGATCTGGCTATATAGTCAGCTTGATTTAACAGGTTTAACACCTTGATTTAATTTTTACAGTGGCATAAAAATGTATTTGGAAAACAAAGCCAAAATGTATAAATGTCGTCAATAACAGATTATAATGTAAAAAAAAAAAAGCATCTGATAAAAAGGGCTATGTGCCAAAACAATTGATATATTGTTCAAAATTAAGACAAGTATATAGACACTCTTTGGTTGTCATATTGTTTGACAATTGAGGGAATCAGACTTATATGTGTGTATATATAAATATATATATATATATATATTAGTGCTGTCAAACAATTAATCGCGATTAATCGCATGCAAAATAAAAGTTTTTGTTTACACAATTTGTGTGTGTACTGTGTATATGTATGATGTATATATAAATACACACATATGCATGTATATATTTAAGAAACATTTTTTGTTTATATATAAAATATTAACATTTATATATAATTAAAAAAAATATATATATATACACGCATGCAAATATTTTTAAAATATGTACATGTATGTTTGTGCATTTATATATACACAGTACACACACAAATTATGTAAACAAAAACTTTTATCTTGGATGCAATTAATCGTGATTAATCGTTTGTCAGCACTATTATTATATATACTGTATATACACATATATCAATCACCAGCTAACCAGCTAATGTTTCTTAGTAACCGATTAAAATGGCTCAAAAAAAGTTATTTCTGGAAACAAATTTGTTTTGCACGTTTGCATATGTGATATTTTGTTATCTAAAGTAAATCCTGACATTTTTAAATGTCCAAATGCTTTTTGGGAACACAGTAGATCCAAACAATTGATTCAAGTTGTTTCTAATTATTTAAATGCACATTAATAATGTTAGATAATAATATAGTAACATCATGCACTAATTAAGTCAACATTAGTTAAAGCACGAACTGAAATTAACTAGCTATGAGCAAAACATTTGCTACAGTATTTATTCATATTTAATGTTAATGTTATACTGTATGGAAACAGTAGTTACTAGAAACTGTACATTGTTAGCACATTTATGTGTTAGCTCAGGTCCATTACATAATATGAACATATACAACTAAAAATGTATTAGTAAATGTTGAAATTAACATTAAATAAGATTAACTGTTAATTCCGAATAGCAAATGTAGTTAACAAATTGAACCTTACTGTGAAGTGAACCTAGTGAAACCTAGTGAGACTCATAATGTTATGCTGATTTTAAGCCTCTTTGAACAGATACATGCTATTATTCATATAAATTCTCATTTGAAACCTCATTTCAGAGACATGAAGTAGCAAGAAAAGGACAGGACTACTGTGCAGTAGCAAAATAAAAGGCCTGTGCATGATGTCTCATGATTAATGAGTGTAAATGTAAGTGTAAATATTTTATAAGCACATTAGTAAAAAACTATAATTATTGTATGACACGTATTCTGCATGAATCATCATTAGGACTGTATTATTTATATTATAGAGAAAAATATAATAGACACTACAAAGGCTACTGATAACAAGATGGATTTATTTTAAATTCAATAACTCAAATGTTTCATTATTAATATGTAGCTTTCATGAACGAACCTTTGTGTTGGAGAGAGTCTGCTCTTCGGTAGCTTCTTTCACTCTCTCTCCTCTGTCCTACTCCTCGGTGAGAAAAATCTCTGGAAGACTCTCTGGGACTTTCTGGAAGCACTTTAACTGGGACATTGAAAAGGGAGAAATTATATCAATATCTTTCTAATGCAATTTCTTCAAACGTGCATGCTAAATAGACCAATCACAACAGACCGAGCCATCTGACCAATCAGAGCAGAGCAGGCTCACGGAAAGGAGGGGTTTAGAGAGACTGAGCCTCTGACTGAAATCACTCCCTTTCCCTTAAAGGGATAGTTCACCTAAAAATGAAAATGTGATGTTTATCTGCTTACCCCCAGGGCATCCAAGATGTAGGTGACTTTGTTTCTTCAGTAGAACACAAATTAAGATTTTTAACTCAAACCGTTGCAGTCTGTCCGTCATATAATGTAAGTGGATTGGAATCACGGCTTTGAGAGTCAAAAAAACATACACAAACAAAACCAAATTAAACCCTGCGGCTCGTGGGGATACATTGATGTGTAAAGACACGAAACGATCGGTCTGTGCAAGAAACTGAACAGTATTTACATTGTTTTTTACCTCTGATGCACTGCAATGTCTGAACTGTCCTGAGCGCGTCCTCGACAGCTGGTGCGTGACGTGTCTTCTCCTTCTTCTTGCTTTTTACGGCAGATTGCACACTTATAAGTGCATTACTGCCACCTATCTCTCAAATGGACCATTGAAAGATGTAGGTGACTTTGTTTCTTCAGTAGAACACAAATTAAGATTTTTAACTCAAACCGTTGCAGTCTGTCCGTCATATAATGTAAGTGGATTGGAATCACGGCTTTGAGAGTCAAAAAAACATACACAAACAAAACCAAATTAAACCCTGCGGCTCGTGGTGATACATTGATGTGTAAAGACACGAAACGATCGGTCTGTGCAAGAAACTGAACAGTATTTACATTGTTTTTTACCTCTGATGCACTGCAATGTCTGAACTGTCCTGAGCGCGTCCTCGACAGCTGGCGCGTGACGCGTCTTCTCCTTCTTCTTGCTTTTTACGGCGGATTGCACACTTATAAATGCATTACTGCCACCTATCTCTCAAATGGACCATTGACACTCTATCTACAATCTCAATTAGGAGTGTCAATGGTCAATGGTTTCTTGCACAGACCGATCGTTTCGTGTCTTTACACATCGATGTATCGTCACGAGCCGCAGGGTTTAATTTGGTAATGTTTTTTTTGACTCTCAAAGCCGTGATTCCTATTCACTTCCATTATATGACTGACAGACTGCAACGCTTTGAGTTACAAATCCTCGTTTGTGTTCAACTGAAGAAACAAAGTCACCTACATCTTGGATGCCCTGCGGGTAAGCAGATCAACATCACATTTTCATTTTTGGGTGAACTATCCCTTTAAATAAGGCACTGTTTGATGGGACAGCCATTTTTAGTGGTGTCCGAAACCTTAGTGGACATTATCAAGTGCACTCGTGTAATCCCACAATGCACAGAAATACTGAGTGTACAACTGATGTATGCTCAACGGCTAGAGAATACCCATAATGCACCGAAAATTGCATAATAGGGGCACTTTAATTAACCATTTCATGGAAGCATAAAATATTGTGTGGACATGACCAACTAATCATGATAACTTACACCGATTGGTTGAAGACTGCATTGATTTGTGGGATGCCAGATTTGTTCGATGGGAACCAGCACTTGCATCTCTGATACTGTCCAGTTTCTTAGAGCCTGACAGATGAGCGTCTGCCAAAGACAGAGACACACAGGGGTGAACCTACATTCAGTTAGACTTTATATATTCTAGCGTTAATATTTAGTGTCTATATGCCAATAGTTTGCAGTGTTGCAGACTTGACTTGACTTGTTAACTAAAATGTTAAAACTACTCAAATAACTAACTAATAAATACATTTTTGGTCAATAAAATAAAGCTGAAATTAAATAAAATATAAATATCAGATAAAAAAAATTAAACTTGAAAATAAAAAATTAAAATTAAAATTCAAACAGATCTTTTCCATAAAATGAACACCACAAAGGGCAAAAAAGACTTAAAGACTAAAAAAAGTTATACTATGGAAGCCCGTTTTCACCACTGAATAAAAAAAGTCATTTGAAAAAGTACAGAAATACTGAGTGTACAACTGATGTATGCTCAACGGCTAGAGAATACCCATAATGCACCGAAAATTGCATAATAGGGGCACTTTAATTAACCATTTCATGGAAGCATAAAATATTGTGTGGACATGACCAACTAATCATGATAACTTACACCGATTGGTTGAAGACTGCATTGATTTGTGGGATGCCAGATTTGTTCGATGGGAACCAGCACTCGCATCTCTGATACTGTCCAGTTTCTTAGAGCCTGACAGATGAGCGTCTGCCAAAGACAGAGACACACAGGGGTGAACCTACATTCAGTTAGACTTTATATATTCTAGCGTTAATATTTAGTGTCTATATGCCAATAGTTTGCAGTGTTGCAGACTTGACTTGACTTGTTAACTAAAATGTTAAAACTACTCAAATAACTAACTAATAAATACATTTTTGGTCAATAAAATAAAGCTGAAATTAAATAAAATATAAATATCAGATAAAAAAAATTAAACTTGAAAATAAAAAATTAAAATTAAAATTCAAACAGATCTTTTCCATAAAATGAACACCACAAAGGGCAAAAAAGACTTAAAGACTAAAAAAAGTTATACTATGGAAGCCCGTTTTCACCACTGAATAAAAAAAGTCATTTGAAAAAGTTTTACGAGAATTGCGATATAAATATTGTTGCAGATGACTTTTTTCTTAGAATTGAGAGTGTATATCTTTCAATTCTGAGTTTATTTCTTGCAAATGTGAGTTTTTATTCTGCAATTCTGAGAATAAAAGCCAGAATTGTAGATAAAGTGTCACAATTACCTTTTTTTATTTTTTATTCAGTGGTGTAAAACGGGCTTCTACACACTATACTGTAAAACACACACACACACACATATATATATATATATACTTGTATGAGAAACAGATCAAAATTCAAAAATGACAAAAAGAGCGGTGAGAACATTCTGGTAAACTTATCCTTTTGTGCTTAGGGTTGCAAAGGGGTGGAACATTTCCGGAAACTTTCCAAAAATCCCTGGAATATTAAAAAAAAAATCCTGGAAAGTTTCCAAAATTTCTGGAATATTTCCGAAATTTACTGGAAATCATCCAACTTTTTTGCAACCGTATTTGTGCTCCACAGAAGAAAGTCAGATAAGAAATAAAAAACACGAGTTTGAAATGAAACAATGATGTCTGGACTGTTGACTGGTGAAATCTTGCAAGTAATGCTCTACATTTGAATAGTATCTATGCATACTGTTGCAGACCGGCCTATCTGAATGCATTTTTCAGAGAAAGACTAAATTGATTCATCCATTGCACACTGAGCTAAGTAATCAAATAAGCCAATGCAATCTGTAACTTAACAAACAGGACAAACTTGCTTATTATGTGCTTATATAGGACACGCGGTGAGCCGTCCCAGATGCTTGAAGAGGGGAAAAATAAGCCCATGGATTACTGCATTCCCTACAGAACAAGAGCAAAGTGGATCTGCCACTGTACACGCAGAAATACTGTATGATGAATCAAACAGATAATACAGTTCAACTAAAACCATCAAACAAAACAATAGAAAATGCATTGGATTTAAACTGGCATCAATCATATGATCAAACTTGAAAATGACTCGACCTGACTGCAAAACAATGCTGAAAAAAGACTGCAGACTAAAAACGCAGTTTATCTATTACAGCAGATGCATTTTATCCTTAATTACAAAACTAATATTCAAATGTGAAATATGACCTTGAGAACATGATAATAAATGATAATAAAATTAATACTTTCTTCTTCTTATTATTATTATTTGTAATGTAATGTATGGCTTTTATCTCTGCCAGTTTTACCAAAGCTTTACATGTGCAGGTCACTGACACATAAAAAATATTTTCAACCAGTAACATTATATGTGACCCTGCAGCACAAAAGCAGTGTCAAGTCGCTGGGGGATATTTGTAGCAATAGCCAACAATACATTGTATGGGTCAAAATTATACATTTCTCTTTTATGCCAAAAATCATTAGGATATTAAGATCATGTTCCATGAAGACATTTTGTAAGTTTCCTACCATAAATATATCAAAACTTAATGTTTGATTAGTAATATGCATTGCTAAGAACTTAATTTGGACAACTTTAAAGATGATTTTCTCAATATTTAGATTTCTTTGCACCCTCAGATTCCAGATTTTCAAATATTGTCCGATCCTAACAAACCATACATCAATGGAAAGATTATTTATTCAGCTTTCAGATGATGCATACATCTCAATTTCGAAAAATTAACCCTTATGACTGCTTTTGTGCTCCAGGGTCACATTTTTCAAATTAAAAATAAGAGTGTTGTTACTGTTAAACAATGCAGGGTAGTAACTGATCACATGTATTCTGGATTACAATAGCAATAAATTGCATTAAATTATTAGCAATATATTATTCATAATTTATTGATTCCTAAAATAGCCTACCGCTTATATAGAAAATAAAGACCAGTCACTAATCAGATGGCTACACAGAATTTGACCACTGGATTTACAAAAATCCTTTTATTTTTAATAAGAAGTGTTTCAACATTGTATCAATACTGATGAACATTAATTTTTATTCTTTATTTTTTTTTTTTTTATAACAATTATTTTATTATTTAACCATGTGTTACTTTGTCTTTGGAAGGCTTTTATCTTTCAAACACATTAAAATGGACAAATTCACATGATTTCTTATTTACATGCAATGCAGGGATTCCCAAACTTTTTGTTTGTCAGCCGAACCTCTTTCACATAATATATTTACTTGATATTTTTCAAGATTATCCTATTTAAATAAATATGATAAATGAGTTAGATTAAAAGTAGTCTGATTATATTACCTAAAATGTGTAATGTAATGATTACGTTTTTTTAACATCTTGATTTGGTTTTTGGGGTGCACTACAATAGGTTTTCATGCTTGATTGTTGTTATTTTTGCAGCAGCGGTCTCGAACGCTCTGTTTAGTTCCTGTTTCGATGAAGCCCCTCCTCCTGAAACACAAACTGTGCTCTGATTGGTTAGCTGGCCCAGTGCGCTGTGATTGTTGTGTTCCGGAAAGGACACGCTCTTCTTCTTCTTCTTCTTCTTCTGTAGCGCAGCTCAACCAGACCACACCCGCGGGCGGAGATTATTTAAATGAGTGACGTTGTGACTTCACAACATGCAGAAGAAGCGTGCTGTAGTCCGAACGAGCCGTTTGCTGTCGTTCTTGAAAAGTGTTTTCTGTTAAAGAGAATATCTGCCTTTGGAGTGGACTTTGGACTCAAACAGCAACATTACACACCAACTAAAGCTGAAATAGTGCAAAAAGCATAACAGGACCAGTTTAAATATTGAAAAAGATTACTCACAGCCAAAAACACTATGTGCATTCATAAGGTGTGTTTTCAAGTATTAGCGGAATAAAAACAGCAATTAAATTTGAATAATTAAAACCAGTGGACTACATTGTGGTCCATCTCCTCTGTTCATACACTGTTAAACAAGATGGGCAGCTTTACCTGTCCCTTTCCCATCGAGGGGGGTGTTATAACGGGACCACATGGTGGTCTGTCTGGGGGCGTCTTCACTGGACACTGCGGTGCCATCCGGATTGGCATAGAACAAGAGGAGCGGCTGGAAGTGACCCCGGATACATTTAGATGCCACATCTTTCCACTTGGAGCCAATCTAGATACAAGATAGACACAGAAATATGTCAGTGAACACAGTTCAAACATCTGAGAGCATATGATCATATTGCTTCAGCAAACTTAATTTTTGATTAGTAATATGCATTGCTAAGAACTTCATTTGGACAACTTTAAAAGCGACTTTCTCAATATTTCGATTTTTTTGCGCCCTCAGATTCAAAATGTTCAAATATTGTCCTATCCTAATAAACCATACATCAATGAAAAAGCTTATTTATTCAGCTTTCAGCTGATGTATAAATCTCAATTTTGAAAAATTGACCCTTATGACTGGTTTTGTGCTCCAGGGTCACATATATGTGTGTGAGTGTGTGTGTGTGTGTGTGTGTGTGTGAGTGAGTGAGTGTG